AATTCGATCAACTATTAGATAGCCAATTGTGTGAACAAAATGAAACTCTGTAATGGATGATTTGGTGATCCTAAATAGATAAAACCTTTTTACAAAGGGTGCAGCATTATATTGAGATATCGTGTGAAGAGAAGCAAGCAATGTAAAGCTATTATTTAAAACCAAAATCAACAACAACAATCCAATTAATGATGGACTGTACAATAGGAAGATAATCCTCCTATTTTAATCTCTACCAGTCAGGTTCTTACTAGATTACAGTGTTTCATTTTGGGATTCATAACACAGAAGAGATGAATTCTTGAACTTAAATGACCTTTCCTGGTCCTAGCTCTGAAATGCGAACATTCTATAAGAAAAAAATTAAATGAAAGAAGCAAATAATGAAGAGATTGGAAAGTATGTGAAAAGAAAGAACTGAAGAAATCGTAGGTCTTTAAGGAGAAGAGAAGACTGGGAAGTACCTAAAGCTTTATTTAGCGAAGAAACACCACTGAAAATAAGAGGAAGAAAAGACTTTGATTGTAGCAGAATTGATTAAAGCAATCACAATTAAAGCAATTAAAGAATCTTCTGACATGAAATTGAATATAGGAATAAGTTGTAGAATCTCCTCTGAAGTATGAAAAACACATTAGAGAAAAAAGGAATAAATGTTTAAGGGTCCTCTCAAGTGATAAAAATTTAGAACAGAAACTATAATATATAAAGACAAAAAGATGAAAAAAGGCTCATTCAGGATATAATCACAAAAGTTCCTTCACACTCTTTTAAGAACTGATTTTATTTTTAACTTCCCAGAGGGCATGTGGGCTTGCCAAAGAGAGAGAGAGAAAAAAAAGAGAGGAATGCACCCCCTAGTAAAGTATGGCCACACAGTCATCCCTGCTACTCTATTTTTCCATCTTGCCAGGACTCTGGGTATGCACACACATGCACCCAATGTGTTTTTCAAGCTGCTAAGGCCAGGATTTAAGCCGTGTGGTCAGCCATGTGGGATCCAGTTCCCTTAACCACTAAGCCATAGAGCTGACTCCTAGAAAAACATTTTTATGTTTATTTATTTGTTTCTTACATGAACATTAGAGACAGAGAGATAGCTCCTCAAACAGGGTCTTAAGACTACAATCCACCCCCAACTTTGGCTAGCCCCTGGGTTATGTGCACTCATGTGCCTGGGGTACCCAGGGAAGTCTGTGGATGTTAACCCAGACCTTTCCCAAGTGGGTCAGCCTCACAGAGCACCAGAGTACTACCGTCTGGAGCTAAGAACAATTCTTAATCAAATTTTGTTAAATAGTTCCTGGGCCATAAAAACAGAGAGCAGATAAATACTAAAATACGTGAATATTTGTTTGGCTACACCTAGAATAATCTACTATCTCACTAAAGTTAGGATAGCAATAACCAGCAATCATTAAAATCTAAAGCAATATTTTACTCCTGGGAGTGGAGAAGAAAGAAATAAGTACTTGCCAAAGAAAGAAGGTTGCACTTTTATTGTCATAGACTCGTCTCATACTAAGAGGCTTACTGTTGGTTAGACACTAAGCTGAATCTTTTACATGAGTTTTCTCATCTATTTTCACAATAATTAATATAGTTTGTACTATTTTTAGCCCCATCTTAGAGAAATTAAGTAACTTGACCAATGTTACATCACTAACAACTAAACTATTGCACGAGGATTTAAACCCAGGCAGGCTGATTATAGAACCTGGGTTTTTAACCTACAAACAGCATTGTATTACATATTCCCCAGCACTCCCCTGAGGTACTCTATTGCACAAGGATTTAAACCCAGGCAGGCTGATTATATATAGAACCTGGGTTTTTAACCTACAAACAGCATTGTATTACATATTCCCCAGCACTCCCCTGAGGTACTATTATTATCTCTGTCTTACAGGATGGGACTGAGGCTCAGAACACAAGGTCACTTAAGATCTACGATAGAGCTGGGATTCAATATACGTCTAAATCTAGAGCTGTGTACTTAACTACTCTCGCTTTCATTCATCAAGTAGTTTGTAAGGTCTACCACGTACCAAGCACTATAACAGACAAAAGGGATATAAAGATGATGAAGATGGTCCCCTCTCTCATGAAGCTTGCCCTCAGAGGAAGAGTCCATAGCTTGCTACTCAAACTGTGGTCCAAGGATCAGTACTATGGGCATCACATGAGGGCTTATAGAAATCACAATCTTAGGCCCCATCACAAACCTACTGAATCAGGATCCAATTTTAGCAAGGTTACCTGAGTGTTTCATATGTATATTAAAATGTCTGCAGCGCTAGCCTAACAAACATTTAAAAGATTTTGCCATTCCAGGTACAGGCTTCTGTACCTGGAATCCAAAAATTAGAAAATGAAATAAAGCAACTGAAATGGAGTAAGGACAGGAGTCTTAATGCCTAAATGGCTTTACTCTTTTTTAAACTAAACTTGAAAATGATTCCTTTCTATCTTAGTGGAGAATTTCCAGGTGAACCTATTAGCTAGATGCCAGGTGATCCAAGATCAACATTTGTTTTCAGCGTTTTCTCTAGCTTCCTAAAAGGAGACACTGTTACCTAAAATTCACTGTTTCAGGAGGGGTGGTTCTTTTAGATTCACATAATGGGGCTGCCCTTACTCCCACAAATGTGGCAAAGATGCATGAAGAATAAGGAATATTTAGGTGTAGATTTTTGATGAACCAGTAAAATATGCCAACCTAATAAGCCAGGTCATCCAATAAAGGACTAATAAAATTGGTGGAATCTTTTTTTATTTCTATTTATTTTTATTAGTTTTATGTTATAGAATATTATTTTTAATATAATTGTCCTAGAGTCAGAAAGCAAGCAAGATTCATAAACTGTGTACATGAAGAAGGGGAAATGATAGACAAAAAGAAAGAAACACATCACTTTGCACTTGTGCTGGTGTAACCAAATTCCACAACGTAAGCGGTCACTGCCCAGCAGCTTTCCCTCTGCCAGATCACTGCCCTTGTCACAGTCTCTGGGGAAGTGAGCTCATCTGGAACGTTGGCCACATCTATGATGAGAACAGGTGCTCCTCCACCTACTGCAAGTAGTAATCACCTCAAAACCTTGACACTTTTAACAAGCAAAACTTGTAAAAGTCAAGTTCAGATTCCAAACTGGGTAGTATAAATGACTCTCACTTTCAGGACCTGGAGGTTTGCATTGCTTGAAGAACGAAGCTCCGTTATGAAACCAAAATGTGCTGTTTGTAAAACAGTGAGACTCGCTTCCATTGGTAAGGGAAGGTCAGCAGTCAGTACAGGACCCTACAGGAGTACACAGCATACAGTAGCACTGGTGGGGCCAAGAGAACTATTAAAGTCTAGCTTTTTATCAGTGCCCAAGCATTATACTCAGAGGCAGGAGGAGAGAGCAGAAAGACATGAGTTTTAGACAGACCTGTGTGGACCTTTGGGCACACTTTTATTTCTCTCAGCCTCAGTTTCCTTACTTGTAAACTCAATTTAAAAATTGTCCCCATTTTCAGAATACTGCTTTTCATTTATAAAGCTATGTGATAACACAGGTAAAACATCTGGCACTCAAGAAATGGTAGGTATTATTATAATTACTCAGAAAAAGTAAAAGTAAGTAAACTTGGGTCCAACAATAAGAAACATCACCTAATACAATAAACAATACTTAGATAACAATGAGGAAAAGTCTTTCAGTAAAGGACTTAATCTCTGAAAACATTTAAGGGAGGGACAAAAGGAGAGACAGGGCCAGGTTTGCTTGCTTGCTTGCTCTTTAAAGAATTATTTATTTAATTTTATTTGTTACTATTCTTTTTTAATTTGACTAGAGAGAGAGAAGGAAAGTGAGAAAGCAAGCCACTAGGTCCAGGACTCAAACCACAGTCAGCCATGTGGGAGTCCAGCACCTTAACCATCATACCATTTGCAGGATTTCTAATCACAAGGAAATGATGGCAGCTAAATCTTGTGCTGGACTTTCAATTACATACTATATCAGAACGTATTGCAGACGATCAGAAATGGTTTCTACAAAGATGCCTGGAGAGTTGACATAATGTTTGTATCCTACCCCCTCCCAATTTCCTTTGTATTTTCCCAAATTATAGCACTTTTGGTGTCTTAATATATAAATAGTTTTGTATCAGCCCCTTTCTTCTCCTAGTCTTTTAGGAGGCCATGCCACTAACTCCCAAGCTAGAGGACTTTGTGCAAGGGATCCACAAAAAACAGCTATAAAATCTGTAGGTCAGAACTAACAGGGAGCATAGCAGTTAAGGCATCTGAATCCCATGTGGCTGATCTCACAGTTCAAGTCCTGGATCTGGTGGTTTGAAAATCAAATCATCCTCCCTGAGGGGGGATTTCTCACTTTCTCTTTCTCTCTCTTTTTTTCACACACCCTATAGCAAAAACAAACAAACAAACAAAACCAGTAGGTCAGAGAATGCCCCCAAATCATGAAAAAAAAAAAAAAAAAGGACACTTGGTTCTTTTCTTATAACTTGAGAAACACAGACCACAGAGAGGCCTTCTGCCTCTCTACTTCCTTTTGGTCCTCCTATCACTCATGGTATCTTTGCTTCCTTTCTCTTTCACTGGCAAATGTGACTTTGACCATGTCTTTATTAAAATGTGTGCAGATGACCACAGTGCCCATGCGGGAGGGGGTGTGCAGTGAAATTCCAATAGTCTGTTTAATTCATAAGCACGGAGCTTTGGAAAAGTTTGGGCTGGTTGGGGTCCAATGTATTTATACATTTTTATTAGACTCAATTGAAAGACCTGAAAAGATGAATAAATTACTTTCCCGTTTGCTTCATCTGCTGTTGCAGACTATGCCCAACAGATGTCACATAAGAAATTCAAATTGCATCTTCAAATGGAGCATAAATTTAGTAATGAATAATTCAAGAGAATAACTGAAAACCAGAATAATTTTCTAGAGCCATTTCTTTCACTGGCTAGAAAGTGTTGGGAAAATACTTACCTATTTATTTGACCATTTTCGACTTCAGTGAAATCATTAGAATCATTGCTAATGTTATCATCCTCAGGCACCGTCATGTTTTGCAACTCAGTTAATTCGAGTCCACTTTTGAAATGCATCATGTTTAGAAGGATCTGTAGTCAAAAAAAGTCGTCCAAGTTTCTCCTGTCCCAAGTGTATTTAGAAGCAGATAGCAGCAAGAATATAAGCTTCACTCCCCTATGATAGAAAATTTCAAAAAAAATAATTAAACATATGAAAAATACCACTGAGTAAAAAGAAACTATTACAAGTAAATACATAGTTAATTGCTGATAACTCAACTTTTACATTTTGCCACTAGATGCACTAAAAGAGTCATTGTACATCAAGTTAAAGAAGCTTATCTCTAAATTTCATGCCTTTTGTAAATTTCCCTATATTTTAACTATAAAATGAGTCATGTCCTATAATCTTTACGCTCACATTTACAGGAATATCATGTTAGCTGCAGGCGATATAGATGCCCTTTTATGAAACACTGTTTAAAATGAAAGCGATTCAGATATTTGACTGTGTTATATCACAAGGCACACAAATAGCTGGGCACAGGCTGCATAGACATGAAGCATCTTTAACAACCCCAGCTTAATAAAAATGCAAATCTTCATTAAACAGCATCATAAGGGATCAACTTTCCAAAATGGTGGTCAACCAGCAAAGGACAAATTTATGTTTCAAAATTTAGCAAATAGTTTATCCATCAACTGCAACAGATTAAATCAATCTCTTCAGTGAAATCACTTCATGTCAGGGAGTTAGGGAATTAAAAACTCATACTCAGAGGATTTGGGTTAATCCACCTGATACTCTATTTCCCATTAGAAATAAAAGACTTCCACACCACATTTTCCCCAAATGGATGAGTACAATTTAAGATTCTGAGGGGCCACCAAGGCACGTAAG